AAAAAAAAAAAAAAAAAAAAAAAAAAAAAAAAAACCAGGCCAAAGCCATTAATTTGAAAGCACAGGATTGTCATAGATGTGCTACCACATGATCAGCATGTGAAGAAGAAAGGAGAAGCAGATCTGAAACAAGGGATCATGCCATAAGTATGTTTATTTCTTTTTAATCAATGTTGGGGATTATTCAAATGCTTGTACAACATCAGTCCTTGAGGACATAAGTCGCTTCTAACTTCTTTTTTACTCACAAGACTGAAATAAGAATTTTGATATTAAGGGGTGCGTGACATGCCAAGCTGTCATAAGTATCAGTAAGTCACGCAGATGATTATTTACATTATTTTAACCTTTAGAATAGGTTAGATCACAAATGTTAAGCACAGCAGGAGCCAAAAGCAGAAAGCGTGAATAGATTGAAAATAATTGCGTACAATAATGTTCACATATCAACTGGTTTATATTTTACTTGTTATGAAACTATATGGACAATAATCGCAATCACACATGTTGTATGTTAAATTATTGAGCTATGCAGTACTGATTTTACAGTTACTTCCGCCTGTTGGTAATTTGAAGAGAAATTTTTTGTTTTGATTGAGTGTAACTTATATTTCAATGAAGAATTCGTAGAGTAGAATATAATAATAGTTAGTATTATCATATTTGTTTCATTAATAACATAAGTGAGAGAGGTAAAAATCTCACAATTTAAGGAAGCATTGAAAACTTGTTTTCTTAATGTAAAGACTCCCACGGCCGACATGTAAAGCAGCATCTAAAGCATGTACATTATATATCTGTATTTAGTTAACATTTATATTATATATTTTAAGCTGTAATTGGCTGATGTATTTTACCGTGGTTAAATAAAGATTCAGATTCAGATTCAGAAGTAGGTTTTACCAAAAAGGCAAGAAATTAAGGTATAAAATACATGATCATTATAATTAGAGCTGTTTGCATTTCATCCTTTTGTTTGATGTTTAATAATATTATATCCAAAGGGAGCCCACTCGCGCTGGTTAACGATAAGCGCAAAAGGAATTTGCATTTTATATTTAAAGATGATTGATTGACATAAATGCATTCATGTTGGCTGGTATTCTAACCGATGAAGACAAATCTAAAATAAATAGATAAAATAAATAAATAATGGGATTAACAGTGGATTCCACAGAGTGGCTCTTCTTCCAATGGATTAAATTTAAAAGAAAAATAAAAAACAAAAAATAGGACATTTGTAGGAAATTATATTTAGTTCTTTCTTCTACTACCAGCTTTAAATATTACATCAACGACAAGGGAAGAAGGAGAACATGCGGTGTTGATGTTTAATGCCAGTACAAACATACTAGAAGTATTATGGGGAATACGAGAGGGTGACACTAGTAGCTTTAAATCAGTGCTAATAAAGGTGGACACAATATCTGGTGTACAGATACATTATAATGCTGATTACGCAAGAAGACTCAGTTTTGTTGGTGATCTGTCTAAAGGACAGGCTTGGTTCAAGATCACAAACCTGAACGTCAATGACACCAATCAGTACATGGCAAGGATCCTCATAGATGTACCAGGACAAAGTTTCGTATACAATGTTACAAAACTAACCGTAGTACAGCTAGGTATTTTTGAATGTGTCTTTGTTCTCCTAATAAATATTCTTTTTTTTTCTTTCTCTCTTTTATTTTATTTTCTTTCTCTATTTCTTTCTTTCTTTCGTTCACTTATCTTTTAATATTTTATCCAATCCGAATTATTTGTGATTTTCGCTGTAGTTACTGCAACGCCTCGACAGACATCAACGCGAGAATTCACTATTCCAGCCTCAAGTTCAAAAACTTCTCCTCGGCAAACAACATCTCTGGTGGCTCGTGAGTAACCCGCGTCTTGCTTTCGGTGTTTGGTAAAGTAGATAATATTATCTTGAGATGTTGCAGTGTGTGACTTCTGTTACTGTGTGCTTTCATAGAACTTTCAAACCGAAGCATGTCAATCAATGTGGTTAAGGACGTTGTTGGAGATTTTAGTGATGCCAGCTCTGCTGCTTTCAAACAATTCAGCAAAAACTTTGTTTCTGAGGTGAGCCGTGTTAAAAGATGAAAGCCTATCTGAACTAAAAGAGGTATTTTGCATGTTACTGATCACAGAAATATTTGATGTTTTTAACGTATATAGCAACAAAGTTAAATAAAAGGGAAAAATAAAACGATAGATACGACAGAATGGGCAGTGAAAACAAGAAATACATTGTATTTCGTCGCATTTTGTGATTTTTTCAACCAACTAGCCTCAGTTAAAAATATCAACAAAGCCGAATATTGGAAACAAATGTAAATGTTTAATAATTCATGATATCCACTTTCTTTTACTTAGATCAACTCTGTCTATAAAAATATCGATATCTTCGAGAAAGCAAAGATCACTAGTCTCAGGTAACAGAGAGTGCCATACTAAATATTGTTAGTGGAAACTAGAGATGTTTTGAAAAACCATACATCTCATCCTTTGCTTTATGCTTTTTCCTTCTTCAATTTGTATCTCCATTGCTAAGCTGTGTCTATTTTTTTGGTTTATTTCTTAAAAGTGACAATATCATTCCTGTAAAGTTCGTTGTTTTCTTCAAGAACACGATAAAACCAAATGAAATATGTGCTCCACTTAAAGATGCAGTAAAAGACAATAGACTTGGAAGTCTCAAGATAGTACCTGGTTCATTAGAATGCTCTAATGGTAGGTTTGAAAGGAATATAAAAGAATGTTGGTCTAAATGACTTATAGACTTACTGAATAAACTGACTTGCAAAGTTGCTGAGTTCGAATGGAAAGCCGTTGGAAAGCCAGCTAGTAGAAAGCGTAAATAATGCTGAATAAATATTCAATTTTGTTATAGTACCCAGCACAAGTTTTCCCAAGCAGCAATCAAGTTCTGCTAGCACATGTAAGTATCCGTTTGCAAATCTAACTGATATCTATCCCACAGCAATAAAAAATATAGCCAATCAGAATTAAGGAAAGCCGTCGTATATTACTGTGTATACCATAAAATACAAATAAACCTACAATATTATCAGTTGTAAAATATAGTATAACTAGTTTGCATTATATTACTATTGATATTTACAAATATCGCAAGCGAAAGTGGGACTATTGTTTTATTTATTTTGAGATTATACGACGTTATCAAGTGACGATTTACAGCAATTTTGATGCAGTTTCTTTACAATCATAATTGTTGATGCAAATATTTCTTTCATAGGCACGTCAATCATCGCGGCATGTGTTACTATCATCATATTCCTGATTTTGGTCGTAGTGTGTCTGCTTATCTATATTTGGAGATTACGATTAAATATTGGTTAGTCAGCAAAATTTCAAACATGAAATAAATGACCTTATTTTTATTTCTTTTAAATTTGTAACGCACGCGAATTTTCTTTCCTTCTTGTATTCTAGAAAAAGGAGCAGAAACAAGGTATTTTTATTTCTCTATTCATTTCTTGAATTGATTTGCTTGTTAATTAATTAATTAATTTTTATTTTTTTATTTTTTATTTTTTGCTCTTTCACATCAATCGTTTCATTGCTTGCAATCATATTCTTACTTCAGAAACTCGCCAAGTATACAAGGCAAGAACCTTGAAGCTTATGAGGTAATGTGCCTGTTCCTTGTTTTGGTTGAAAGGCTGCGATCAAACCTGGACCAACTCAACGTTTATATTTTCTCTTTTTTAGCACTCAATATATTAAAACGATTTTCTAAATTCATATCGCAAAAATATATATTTACTTGTCTTCGTGAAATAACGAATGAATTATATTTTATTGTTTAGAATGTCCATCAAATGGACGACACCTCACAAGCCATAACGACAAAAACAGCTCGAACGCCAAATTCCGAAAAGGAACTTTATGAAACGGTAAATGAAACCAGAGACAAAGACAGCGCTGCAATAGCAACAACTGTGAAACATACGCGTGGGCCTTCTGCCGGCGTCCAAGGTGACGCATCTTCATTGCCGCAACATTATCAAGAGCTTCAAAGAAATGCACCTAATCCGACCCCGCTGTATGAGCCTCTCAAGCAGCGGGGCTTTGGTAACAAAGAAGAAGTGGCTTCAGAAGATCCAAAAATATACGAACATCTGCGCATGCAACAGAGTGCATCAAGAATTGAATACCAGTCATTGAAGCGTTATAAGGATACCGAGAGTAAAGTGTGATGCAACAACTGCAAATCAAATACTTTTCCATAAGCCACCAAATGAACAATTGTTCTTTCGTTCCATATTAGAATTGTTTAGCGTTTAGCTGCTTGCCAACATCTATTTCTAGCTTTTTTGCTAATCATTAAAAGGCAAAATGTGCCAACTGAACGAACATATTCTAAATACATAAAAGATTGCTACGTTAATTAAGTACGGTTATACTTAATACTTCCCTCCATATCATTTGCAAAACAGAATAAAAGAATGAATATATATTTATTCTTTTATTCTTTTATATATATTCGTTTATTGTGGACATATTTACTTGCACTTTTATCGTTATCTACTATTACCTCTTTTCCGTTTTAGTTACAGTGCACAAAATGAACCACGATATTAAAAGTGCAATATGTCAGTCTCGACCTAAGAACTCCGACATTTATCTTTTTTGATACATTTGCGAGTTCGCGATTAGTGTGTTCCTTTTGGCATGCTAGAAKTTTGACAMGTTAATAAAKCTTATGTATGTMTGTATGTTGCTCGATAACATATCACAAAATTAAAACACATGCATCTCATGAAATTAAATGTTTTATACGATTACAACCATAAATTTCTTGGGCTTCCCAGAACGCCTGGCATTTTGTGAATCACCGGCATCAAAAATGACAAGGCAATTGAGTCTTTCTGGAAAGACATTTATTGACCATACCATCTAGCAAAGGATCTTAAGATCCGTAGTTTTATATGCCGTCATTTGCAACGCAACTGAAGCAATATATAGTTGTGTGACAAATAAATCATATTAGCTCCTTATGAAGGTTAACYTTGATGACATTGATTTTCAAATCGAAAGGTGTTAAGACAATACCACATGATGCAAAGCAGAAAAAAAGAAAAGTAGAGACAGCATCAGCTGGTATTTACGATTATTTCAAGTTCAAAACAAGATCTATCCAGATCGCTTCGTCAGTCTTACCCCTATATTCCTATTTCGTATTAATGTTTTGCGAGTTCTTCTTGTGTTTGTTGGGCATCACTGCTGGAATACTTCCGCTTATTGGTAAGTGACATCCACTTCTTCTACTAACCACATCCCGAAAATGTAACGAGTTATGCAACCCACATGTCAAATGATTCAATTATTTAGCATAAACTCTCATCTCACATGTTTATTTTTGAGGAGAGAGGAAAACCTTTGAACAAACTCTGTTCACAAGCGACGTCCGGACTCGAACTGGGTACCCGCGGACCCGCGTAAGACTCGACCTTCATCTCGAAGCAAAGTATAAAAGCAACAGAGTTTATCCAGATTTACTGCACACTAGTTTTAGTTGATGCCCGCTAGCTGTACAATAAATAAAATATTCATTGAAATGCTTGTTTTGAAATGCCGTAATTTACTTTAGATGGAGTGGTCAGATTTACTCAAGTTCCACCACCTATCTTGTATGTGCCTAGTGGCGGAACTGCAAAATTTGTCTAGGATTACCATGTCGATGATCGAGACAATGAGCTTTTTACAACCTCACCAGAATGGTATTACAGTAACACTATAAACAAGACTCGCATTGCTGCTGATGCAAAGACTTATGTAAGTGGAAGATTTGAATGGAGGTGGTATTTAGCACCATCATGTCCAGCGAGACTGCGACATCGACTTGGCAAGGAATCTGTTGCCACTCTGGTCATCTCAAATGTGACCACTCGCGATAATGGGAAGTATTCTTGCTCACTTGTTTTAAGAGGGGGAAAGAAGCCAATAAAAAGCGCAACACAGCTAGTAGTAACAGGTATGATGAATACAATCTATATCTGGTGAAGCATTTGGATGTATGTTTCACCTATAAACATGTCATTGCCAATGATGGTTTCGAAGTTGCAGATTATTCAGGCCACATAACTAATTATAGGGTCTTTTCTAAGATCAATAAAACTGGCTAAAGTCAGTGTCTTAGATATGCTATACCATGACCAACATTTGTAGAACTGAAAAAGGAGAACAAAGCCGAGAACAAATGGATTATCTTTTATGTTAGTCTATCCTTTATTTGTTTTTAACAATGTTAGGGAACACGCTAATAACATATATTATACTGCTTATCTTTTGACCCAAACCCTCATAAAAGTTATAAACATTGATAATATAATAATATCAATAAATGAATATTAGGTTAAAAAGTAAAAAGTAAGGTATCCTGTAAAAACGTGACGTAACTGTCACTTTGGCTGTAGCAGCTACGTCACGCAACTAAGCATTTATATGAGTTTTGACCTCTAGAAAAGGTTACACCAATGATTACTAAACAACCAGAACCTAATCGAGGGAGAATAGATTTATTTGCGTGCAATACCATTCACATATTGCCTGATATACACTGGTAAGACGCTAATGAGGTAACCTTTATCAAGATATTCCTTTTCACAAAAAAATGCATATCATTTCCTTGAGCTGTGTAGCACTGATTGTACAGTTATTTCCGCCTGTTGGTAAGTTGAAGAGAAATGCCTTAATTATGAGTGCAGTTCTTTATTTTGATTTAATTGTCATGAAAAATTAGTTGAGTTTAAAAGAGAATTATTAGATATCCTTATGGCATTTATTAAATCCATACGTTATATTTATCTAAATCCACCAAAATAGATAGAAACTAAGGGAGACTTGAAACATACTACAGACATTTGAATTGATGGTGCTCGCGTTTCATCGGTTGCTTTCTTCGCTGTTTAATAACACAGGGGGCCCACTAACATAAATACAATGCAATCAATAATAAGAATTCAGCCCCTCAATTATTTAAGTAAATATACAGAAATGGTTTGCTAATTTTCATGTGTTTTTACATATATATTTCATTACTAATATTTTATTAGTTGACTTTGCATTTTGCTCAGTAATTGCAACTAGCTGTTTTTGTTTGCACCTTTTCAAAGTGTCCATATCTAGTCCTGGTCCGCTAACAAGAGAGGTTGGGCAAGATGTGGTGTTCATGATTAATGCTACCAATATAGTGGGAGTCAACTGGGGAATACGAGATGGCAACACTAACAAACTGCAACAAGGACTTATCAACTACAATAAAGCAGATGGAATACAGTTAGATAAAAAGATCAATTCAACAAGTTGGTGATATGTCAAAGGGTCAGGCTTGGCTCAAGATCACAAACCTGAACATAAATGATACCAATCAGTACATGGCAAAAATTGCAATACAGGATGCATCAGACTACAAATATGTACCAGTACAGTTAACTGTGATACAACCCGGTCAGAAAATGTCTTTGTGCTTTAAATTATATATATTAAATTTAATATATAATATATGTGTGTGTGTGCGTTTGCGTGTATGTGTGTGTGTGTGGTGTGTGTGTGTGTGTGTGTGTGTGTGTGCGTGTGTGTGTGCGTGTGTGTGTGTGTGTGTATGTTTATATCTAAGATAATTTAGAGTTGGCATTTTTATAGTGCATAAGTATAGTGCTCTTTCCTGAAAGGAAGACGAGGTAGAAAATCATTAAAATTCAAATTGCATTAGTATTATGTTCATTTTCTCCAATCATTTTCTACTTTTCTAGTTATTTTTCATTAATTTTTTTTTAGCCTATCGTGTATTTTGCTTTCTCTCAATTCTTTTCTTTCTTTTTCCTTTGTAACAATTTCAGCACCAACWACAAGACCTCTCCAGACGTCAACCACGGCAAGCACATCATTTGTATCAAACACCATAACGTCAACTGTACCCCACAACATAACGTCAAGTCCACCGAAGAATATAACGTCTACAACACACTCTCGTGAGTAAKCGGTCTGAGACTAGTTAGCAATTTCTTTCTATTCTAGCACTTCAGTCTGTACGTTTTTATTCTCCGACGTCTTTCAAGCAGTATATAATTATTTGGAGGATAGTTTCTATCGTTGAATTTACTTTTTTGGAACGAGCAACTACTTTTGTGTCCTCAGCTATTATTTAACAAGCATAATCGTTTTTGTTTCAGTACCCGGTACGAGTATTACTGAGAATCAATCAAAGCCTAGTGGAACATGTAAGTTACTTTTAACAATGGCATTGAATAATGGTTTCTTGGTTAAATAAGGCATGCAGTGGTATACATCAATTAAAGACTTCAGTCGTTACGTCATCAAGCAACAAAAACGAACAAACAATAAAAATGTTGACATGAATGGCTAAATCAAATTGTATGTACTCTTTTCCATAGTGTGCAATAGTTACCTTTATCACTGCACTTACTCCCATGGCATACTTAGTAAATATGYTTGGTGTTGATCATTTTTGTAGGTACCTCGATCATCGCAGCATGTGTCACTGTCATCGTTATCCTTGTTGTGGTCATCGTGGTCTTACTCGTCTACATTTGGAAARGAAAAGGTAAAAATGGAAACTTAACAAAACCTTCATTACAACATCAATTCTATTCATTTTTTTATGACCAAAATTATCATAATTATTTATTAATTTTTTCATATTCTAGAAAAGTCAGCAAGGAAAAGGTATTTTTGGTGTTGTATTTTGTCTGTCGTTCTTCCAGATTGTCTGTCGCTGGGTTTTTATTCTTTATTCGCTTACTCGTTTGTTTATTCGTTTGCTAGCATCCAACAGACTATAGTTCTTAAGTGATTACTTTTTTTTGCTTTTTTTCTCGCTGTAGAAGTTTGTCAGGTATTAAAGGGGAGGACCTTGGAGCTTACGAGGTAAATATACTGTCAAATGCCAATGTATAACGTAACTGTCACAAGTGCTCTTTCATCAAAACAAAATGTTACAATTAATTTGTCAAACAATACAACATGCTGTTCCTTTACATCTGCTATTATTTAATAGATAATTACTGAGGTACGCAGCATTCGTAGGTATAATGCAGGCAGCTGAGGGGGTAGCCCTCAGCTGCCTGCATTATACCTACGAATGCTGCGTGCCGAAGTGATTATCTAGTATAATTATTCTTCTTATCAAAATCCAATTGTTTTCTTTCTAGCTTGTGCATCATAGAAACAAAGCCAATAAAGAATGAACTAAATATGTCTGATTTTCGTCTATGCATTCGTTGGGATAATGCAGACTGAAAACAATGGATTTTGATAAGATCAGTAATTATCTACTTACTAGTATTTCCATGACTTCCTATTACTGTGTATGCATATACCATTTTCAATTTAGAATGCCAATCAGATGGACGACGCCTCAAATGTACGAGTGCATGAGTCAGCCAAGGCAAGAATTGCCGATAAAGAAATGTATGAAACAATCTGTGAAAACAGAGATGAAGACGCCAGCACTCACCTCACGTCCACCCTCCAAGGTGTAGCTTCTTTATCTGCAAAAGAGATGAATACACGTGATTCTTCAGCCGGTGCACTGGGCCAAAACACCGTACCTTCATTGCCACAGCATTACGAAGAACTAACAAATCTACCAAAGGGCCAATTATACGAGCCTCTTAATAAACGCAACATTAAGCATAGCACTGATGCGGCTGATAATCCAAGAACATACGAACAACTGCAGCAGGATGTGACAGGAAAAGAGTACCAGTCGTTGCAAATCATCTCAAAAGAAGAAGAAAGCAAAGTGTGATTATTTTTGTGCGTGTGTTTGTTCGCGAGTCAAAAGTATTAAAGAGAGTTGATTAACTCTTCAATATTGGCAATTCAAGTGTTTTCTTATAAAGCTTTGCATCATTTTTCTTTGACGAAAAAATGGGAAGATTGAAGGGATCTGAAGGCCCAAACACTAGACCATCGATCTTTCAGTCAAATATGTTGATAGTAAAGGATCGAGCAATGATGCATAAAACAGCAACTTAGTTTTATTCCACTACAAAAAAACAAAAAACAAAAAAAAAATTAATGCTTGAATTCCTTTACTTTACTGGTGCTTTGGCTAAATAATTCCCAAGTCACGCGATCGGCTTACAATTACACTCATTAGCACTGTTGTTAGCATTTCAGTTAATTTGATAATTAATAAGCAGTTATTCTTTTCTCGTGGCCTAATTACGTTGGTATGCGACTCCTCCCCCCTTCCCCTTCTCCGATGTTTTTCCTCGTTATATTTCAATAACACCCAAATTTTCTATGCTTTAACAACAACCACCATTCGTCTAGACTACTGAGGTTAATTCACGGTTTTGAAACCTAATTTTACCGTGGTTTTGTGGGATATATGATTCTTTTTTTAAATGTTTTAATTACCGCACGCTTTTTGATTCTTTGAAAATATTCAGACGGCAAGATAACTTATGCCTTTTCTGAGGCCGGTAATTACAACCAAGGCCAGAGACAGCAATTTGACAGCACAGTGACTTAGTGTCTCAAATATGCTACCACATAATCAGCACTCATTAGGAGGGCAAAGCAGATCTGAAACCGAAGGATCTATCAGGGATATAAGTTTAATCTTATGTTTCTTTATTCAGTTTCTTTCTTACTTTTTTATTTTCATTCAATGTTGGGGATCATGCAACTGATTGGAAGACATTTATCCATTGCTTTTAATCTCGTCTCACTGCTTATCTTTTTTTTATCCCAATGAATACACAGAGTAAAATGTAAAGGGTTTATTCAGGTCTTCAGTAGTAACGTGACGTGATTGTCACTTTGGCTGACGTCATCCAACTTAGCATTTACATCATTTTTAACCTTTAGAAAAGGTTATGCCACAAATATTAAACACACAGCAGCCAAAAGCAGACGGACGTCWATATATTTATTTTTTCAATAACGTTCCATATAACGACTGAGATTTGTATGCGTCAACCTTCGTTTATTTGATCGCTAMCGTAAAATGTATGCCATTTTATTGATCTTTGCAGCACTGATTCTACAGTTACTTCYGCCTGTAGGTAAGTTGAAGAAAAATGCCTGGATTTAGTGTGGTTTATATTTCGATTTAAGTTCATTAAAGAAGATAATTGTTAGACAATAACATTGTATTCAGTATATACTTAATGGCATAGGTCCGGTTTGTCTAATCTAATYTTACAATACGTAAATACATTAAAAAGGACAGAATCTAAGCTATAAAAATACATGGATATTTTGCTGATCGCTTTTTATCGGTTCGGTTTTGTTTGCTAGGTTAATAACATATTATGCACAGGGAGCCCATTTGACACAAACGTTTTTAAATGAAATAAAATTAAATCTGCAAGAAAAACTCTAAAAATATATGGTCGAGAATTGGTTGGTTGCTTGGTTTTCGRTTGGTTTTGACATATCTTCATTATTTATCCCTATCTTTTACACRTGCAATCGATAAARAAATTGYAAAAATRWAATAAAAATAAAAAAAGAATGTTAGGTTACTATTTYCTCTTACYYTTACTGCCAGTAACCGTTTCAAGTCCTGCATCAATGACAAGAGAAGAAGGAGAAGATGCGGTGTTCATGTTTAATACCAGTACCAGCATCCTAGAAGTGGCATGGGGCATACGTGATGGTGAAACTGATAACCATAAAATAGTGTTGATAACAGTTGACAAACGCTTTGGTGCATACCTAACTTCTAATGCTGGTTACAGAGGAAGAGTCAGTTTTGTTGGTAATTTGACAAAGGGTCAGGCGTGGTTCAAGATCGCAAACCTAAACATCAATGACACCAATCATTACATGGCAAAGATCCGGGTTTATGGCACTTCGTTCTACAAAATCATCCATGCACAATTAACAGTCACTAAACCACCAGGTAAAAATTTATAACACTACGTGCTATCTCATTCTTCTCCATCGAGGGTATCATCCTTCTATATATATCTTAGGTGAGCCATCGTCTCGACTATAGTCAAGCTAAAAACACCAATGTCCAATCATGAGCAAATGCCCAAATACATAGAATAAAGGAGGCTGGAGGAGCCTTTGGTGTCATCACAACAAATCTTTGGAACTCTTTGAAAAATGACATTAAAAACTCAGTGTCATTTAATTCCTTTAGACGTAGTATATCCAAACGATTGCTAAATTATCAAAAAGAATACAGTTATTTCCAACATTTCACTCACAAATCACACGTAATATAAGACCACAATTTCTTCTCATCATTTGCTACTAGAACTTGTGAACCATCGATAAACAAAGCCACGGCCAATAATTTGAAACATAGGATTGTCATAGATATGCTCACCACATGATCAGCTCGTAAAGAAAAAAGGCGAGCCGCAGATCTCAAACAAGAGATCATGAAATAAAAATTATTCTTTCTTTTTTTTAATCAATGTTGAAGATCATTCAACTGATTATACACCATCACTTTTTCTTGACGATATAAGTCTCTTCTATTTTGCTATTTTGTTTTTACAAACCGAAAGATAAGTTTTTCGTCTTAAGTGGGAGCGTGAAATGAAAAATTGTCATACGTTGCAGCACGTCACGCAACTTATTATTTACAGCAGTTTTAACCTTTAGAATAGGTAACACTGCAAATGTTAAACACACTGCAGCCAAGCACTCGGACATAAAAAGATTTATTTGCTTGCGATACGGTTCACATATTGCCTAATTTATATTCAAGAGATCGGGTTAACATTCATAGAAATAATCACATATCACACAAGATGTATGCCATTTTATTGAGCTGTGTAGCAATGATTCTACAGTTATTTCCGCCTGTTGGTAAGTTGAAGAGAAATACCTTGATTAATGAGTGCAGTTTACATTTCGATTTTAGTGTCACTAGGAATTCGTATAGAAGATATAAATAGTTTATAATATTATTGTATTCATCCAATTAATGGAATAACTTGTATGTCGATCTCATATTACTTACTAAAACAACCAAAAACTAAAGTAACCAAGGCTGAAAGATATACTGACATTGGCATTGGTGCTGGTCGCACTTCATCGGTCGTTCTGTTTGCTGTTTTAAAATATTTTATGCACAGGAAGCCCAATTGATGTAAACGCAATACAATCGAAGCCAATACTAAAAGAACTATATATTGAGGCTTTCCATATTAATGGCATTCAATATACAAAAGGCGTATTTATTAAATTTCAATTTTAGATTTTACCAATATTTTCTATACCTGTGTAAGCCAATAACATAAATATCATAATATACTTTTATAATCTTTATGTTTATTACTCCTTTTTCTGGCTATTATTTCATTCATTCATGGGAATACCTGTAACGTTATCATGATAAAAGAAAATTAAACTCGTGATAATTTGCACTTATTTGCTATAAAGATGTGTACTTTGTATTTTCTTTTTGACCTAATGGAATTTTGATCATTTTACTAATTGGAATGAATTACCACATAATATAAAAACCAGTTCAACACATAAAGTCTTTAAAAATAAGCTTAAAAAACATCTGACGAGAGTATGTGGACCGCGTGGCACTAATGAAATAGTAGAAGATAATATAGGTAAGTTGTAGTGCTTGGGAACGAGGTTATTCCGGGCGAAAGCCCTTGGAATTAAATTCGGAAAAATTAATTGCCACGCGGTCCACATACTCTCGTCTTTGCATCATAATTACCGCGACCTAACATCTATTTCACCCCGGCCTGCTCTCAGTCTGACCTCTAGCTCAGCTGGTAGAGCATCGGTAGTACAATTCCGAAGGTCGTGGGTTCGAGTCCCAGCGAGGTCGGAAATTTATTTTTCCGAATTTAATTCCAAGGGCTTTCGCCCGGAATAACCTCGTTCCCAAGCACTACAACTTACCTATATTATCTTCTACTTAAAAAACATCTGTTGCTTTAGAATTTTTATTCTATTTAGGTTTTGCTTCAATTTAACTTTATTTCCTACTTTAATTTAGTTCAAACTTCACTTTATTGTATATAACTTTTTATGTGTGTTGAATCTATTTTAGTTTTGCCTCTTTCCCCCTTCTTTGAAAGTATTATATAGTTTCAAGGTGCAGAAATATTCTCTTAACCCTTTTGGGTTGTTTTTCTTCTGCTCCTCCCAGTTAATTTTTTTAAAATAGTAATGTAAAGTATAAAATTCTCATTCTGGGAAATAAAAAAAACCTTGAAACCTTGAAACCTTGAAACCTTGGTTATTTAGGGGATTTGGATTATCTTATTAACTTATACAGTAGTTCGTTACGTACGATTAAACCGTTGGTCACAGCAGTATTTTTGGCGTAT